ATGACAATCGAGTTAAAAGTTTATTTGATACAAGTTGACGTTGAAAAGACGAATGGCTATTCCCTCTGTATAACGCAGTGTTCTGCTGATATTCTATCCATTGATTATTAAATTAGCAGTGCCAGGATCTATAGAGTAATTCATTAATTTTATGTTTTATATCTATATTACGTACATTTTTCTGACTAAAATATAAACTTACAATGTCAAAAATTCTGTCTAAATGCAATTTCTAATTGTTCAAAGTATGAATTATATTCTCTAACAAATTATATTTACGGAACTACATCTTATTTTGCTGTAACTAGTATCTAACCGAAATTGAAACTTTTCCTCAGAAATTCATACCTTCTAATCAAATGATTTACTCAATAAATCATTATATACAAATATAATTAACCGTTAATATACTTGAAGAAAGTTTTGTTAAGTTTACATTTACATTTCTGAAAGAAACATAAGTCTTATAGGGATCGAAACAACAATTCCATTTTACATTCTATTAAGTTTAAAACTTGATTTAATGGATATTCTAGCAGTGTTGTTCATATATATGGAAAACCTTACGATTTTAGTTTTTATAGGTATCATTACAAAGGTTTGACTAGGCAATTTCAAATAAATTCAGCATTGAGTAGATTGTTATAAATAAATAAATTAATATATTTGTCAGAATGGGTTAGACATTAACACCGTTGGATGCCGGCCGGCTCAGTGGTCTAGTTGGTTAAGCGCCTGGCGCGAGACTGATAGGTCCTGGGTTCGAATCTCGCGGGGTGCGGGATCGTGGATGTGCACTACTGAGGAGTCCCATACTAGGACGAAACGGCCGTGCGGTGCTGCCAGGTTTTCCACGGTGGTCTAGCTTCAATTGACTTATGACGGAATGTTGGGATGTTCAGGAAAATATCCCAAACATTATTCTGTTAAGTCAAACGCTATCCTTGGACTTGAGATGGTGTCATTTTCTTATTGGTCATTATTTATTTCACGTGTCGTTTTCCTACTGGTCAATATTGTACAATGTTATTTTCTATTTTCTGGTACGATGTGGTCTGTTTGGTTGGTATGTAAACAGAGTATGTCTGAAATATAATGATTCGTATCTCAGAGGCTTAGACTTGTGTTCTGGACTCAACTGGCTGGGCTAGACAGGGGAGTGGGACCAATCAGAACCCTAGGCCGTTCTTACGTGTTTGCGCGTCTTTGGTCCGATCGATAATTCGCTGTCCTCTAATCTGCTGTCAGTTATAGCACGGAACAACGAGAATATTATACGATCAATACTCTTGTTGTTCCGTTGTACTATTTAAATTTGGATTAATTTTGATTTATTTACTTATGTTTTGAAGAAGTGGCTTACACTAAGATTACTGAAAATTGAGAAGTTATAAAATATTTTGTTGAGAGAGCGATACAAACCAAGATTTCTAGAAATTTCTATTATTTGAAGATAATAAACAACAAAATTAAAAATAATTAACAGAATAAAACCTTCAAAGTATTATTTACTTGACATTATGTCAAATATTCCAACTTTAAAGAAGTATCTTCACGAACATTACATACTGGAATAGATATTTCAGTAGTTAAACTTTTTTCTGATTATATCGTGTTGTTGTCATTGTTTTTCTTCTTCAAACTACACTATTGATGAGTTATATTCATAGAAGTAACTACTACATAATCACTATAAATACAATCTTGTTATCGAATTATTTCTCAATGCTATAATTTTGTTGCAATTATGCGCACTCCTGAGGAGTCCTATAATAGGAAGAGTGGTAGTCTAGTGCTTCCAGGTTTTCCATGGTGGTCTAGCTTCAATTGACTCATGATTTCAATTATTAAAATTGATATAGAAAAGTTTATATTTTATGCTTACTTTTGGAGATAACTTCTATGTTGTAGATATCTTTAACTAAATTAAATTAATTTAGTAGATGAATTTATGAGTCAATTAAAGCTAGACCACCATGGGAAATCTGGAATCTCGCTTTGTGGGATCGTGGATGTTCAGTGCTGAGGAGTCCTATAATAAGACGAAATGTTCGTCCAGCGCTTTCAGATTCTCTATTGTAGTTAAGTTTCAATTGACTCATGATCTCAACTATTGAAATTATATTTCTCTTCATTTCAATTCAACGCTTCTTTCTGACAATTCATGATATAATTTAACATTGGTTCTTATTTGACTATAAGGCTACTATCAGACTATGTGTTTGCTTGTTTGTTTGCTTGCTTTACTAATACATAATAACTATTAGATATATTTCTTATCTACATTTCTATACATTGTGAATTATCCAATGTATTCTTATCTAATTTTTATAAATTAAATCTGAAAGTAAATTAGTTATATAAATCATGCGAAACAATCCTTGTTTTTTTTTACAATTTCTCTTTTTGACACTTTTCTACTTGAATAATAAAGAACGTGATAAAGTTTCTGATATGCTTCAACTATTCGACAGAATAGAATTTGAGTACGTGACAAATTATTTAATTTTTATCAATAATAGTTTCTTTATAAAAAAAACAAGCAAACAAACAAACAATTGTATTCTCAGTAGTAAAAGAGTAATAAATAAAGATTCTGAATATATATAATTATTAAAATAGGCTAATAAGAGGTACAGAGGACATTTGGTTATATATATATATATATATATATATATATATATATATATATATATATATATATATGCACATGTATACATATGATAATATGTGATCGGATTACTTTCTTACTTACTTGAATATGTCTCTTACTCCCAATGGAGCATAGGCCACCGACAAGCATTCTCCAGCACACACTAAAGTGGGCTTTTTTTCTAGTTCTATCCAATTCTTGTTCATTCCTCTCATTGTCTGTCTTCATATCTCAGTGTAATTTGTTCTCTGGTTTTCCTCTTCTCCTTTGGATTTGAGGATTCTATGTGAGGGCTTGCCTTGTGACACAGTTGGTGCTTTCCTCAATATGTGTCCTATCCACTTCCAACGCTTCTTCCTGATTTCTTCTTCCACTGAGATCTGGTTTGTTCTCTCCCACAGTATGTTGTTGTTGCTAATAGTGTCTGGTCAAAGGATCCGAGGTATTTTGCGTACACAACTGTTCATAAACACCTGCATATTCTGGATGATGGCTTTGTAGTTCTCCAGGTTTCCACCTTATACAGTAGAACTGTCTTGTCATTTGTATTGAAAGTTCTGACCCTGGTGTTGATTGACAATTGTTTTGAGTTCCGGATGTTCTTCAGTTGTAGATATGCTGCTCTTGCTTTGCTGATTAGCGCCTTCACTTCTACATCAGATCCACCGTGTTCATCCGTGATGCTGCCCAAATGTGTAAAGGACTTAAATCTTACAAATCTTTTCCATCAATTGTGATTGGATTGGTTCATGCTGTGTTGTATCGGAGGATCTTGTCTTTCCCTTTGTATATGTTGAGACCAAATGCGGCTGAGGCTGCTGCTACACTGGTCGTGTTCTCACGCATTTGTTGTTGTGTGTGCGATAAAAGAGCCAGATCATCTGTGAAGTCTATATCATGCGGCTGCGTCCAAGTTGTCTACTGTATCCCATGCTTCGCCCCCAAATGTCTTTACAATTCAGTCGATCATCAGGAGAATGAGAAAGGGTGAGAGTAAGCAACCTTGCCTGACACCGGTCTTTACTTCGAACGATATGCCTAATTTTCATTAAGTTTTTGCCAGTTATTTACTATTGAAAGGTTAGTTAGGCACCAAACTGCGGAAATAATTTTGATTCAATCCACTAAGTAAGAATTCATGTTATAAATCTAAATTTTTACGAGGAAAAGCAAATATATATGTATAGTGATATTACTCAAACAACCAGAATATGATTGAAACCTATTTCTTTGATACTAGTAGTTGTTTACATATTAAAAAATTACTTATTTACTTACTCCTGTTACTCCTCATAGAGGAGCATAGGCCGCCTACCAGCACTCTCCATCTGACCCTGTCCTGGGCAATCTTTTGCAACTTTTTCCAGCCGCTATTCACACTTTTAATGTCTGCTTCTATATCTCAAAGTAATCTCTTCCTAAGTCTTCCTGTTTTCCGCCTCCCTTCAGGATTCCAAGTTAGCGATTGTCTGGTGATTTCCGTAATATATGTCATATCCACTTCCATCGTCCTTTCTTAATTTCCTCCTCAGCTGGGAGCTGCTTTGTTCTCTTCCACAGGAGACTGTTGTTGATGGTATCCGGCCAATGGATATTAAGTATCTTGCAGAAACAACTATTCATAAATACTTGTACGTTCTTGATGATGGTTGTAGTAGTTCTCAAAGTTTTAGCTTCGTACAGTGGAACTGTCTTGACGTTCGTTTTGAAGATTGTGACTTTGATATTGGTTGACATACATTTGTTTTGAGTTTTATGTGTTCTTCAATTGTAAAAAATGCTCTACTTGCTATGCCAATCTTTGCCATTACGTCTGTATCCGATCCTCTTTGTTCATCAATGATGGTCCCCAGGTACGTGAGGGATTCCACATCTTCCACAGTAATTCAATCAAGTATGATTGGATTGCCGTATTAAAAGGGATAGTTATAAATCAGTATACCGTTTTTTTCGCCAGAATTTTTTATTTCATTCTACGAATCTATATATTGGGTAAAGTTTAGACATTTTACTTAACTATAAAATATAGTTACCACTAATTCACTCACATTTAATTGGCATAATGATAATAACTATTTAATGAATTATTATTCGCTGAACAATTCTCATTATAAACGAAAAATTACTACCAAAATATACTATGAATGTACATTTCAAATTCAATGATGAAATCTATAGACAAATAGATGGTGTCGTGATGAGTTCATCTCTAGATCCTATATTGGCTGAGATTTTTCTTCTCTAAACTAGAAAACACCCCACTAGTACAATTACATCATTTGAATTATTATTATTGATCATTTTTTCCTGTTGAATTTCTTTTTAAAATTATTTTACCTATCTATAGACGGTTGTATTCTTCAATCAGTTCTTCATGACATTCTATATTCGAATAATTGTATATGGATGGCGATCTGTTCAACGGGTGTAAATCTTTATATTCTAACAATCATAACATGTTATATGCTATTTATATTACCTGAGAAACAATTCAATAATTCATATCTAACAGAAAAACAATATTTATTAGAATCTATTAATAATAAACCTGTTCGTAATAAATCTATTCCAATTAGATTAAATATAATGAATAATAGAAAACGTTCTATAAAAACAATAAATGATTACATGAATATAAGTAATAAACAATTATTTACAACAAAGTCGAATGATTACATAATTGAAAATAATCATTTCTATAATAAACAAATAGAAAAACAAAAACATTCTAATCCATACATTAATACATATAAATCTAATTTATCATTACAAACAAAATCATTATCAAATATATTTACAAATCATTTAAAACAATCTCATAATTCACAGTCTATCATAACAAAAAAATTATCATCTTCATTATTATCTAATAAAAATGATATAAATGAACCATATTTTGATCCAAATCAATCTGTATATATCACTTCAATGATAAATAATACAGCTAGAATTCCTTGTAAAGTAAAAAATATTGATTTTTCTTCAACTGTTGTAAGTTTATTGTCTTGACAACATTTAATTCTCGTTTTTTTTAAAAAAAATATTGTAATAGTAAACATTAATTAGAATGATTAGATGATGACCAGGTTAAATATGGTCAACATAGAGTGAGAAAGAGAGAGAGAATAATGTAATCACCAATCAGAAATTACATAATATGTAGAATAAGATGAATTAGATCAGATATAGTACATAGGGTTGGTTGCTGTAATAATAATAATAAGTTTGGGACATAAAAATGAACATTAGTCAAATTACGTCACTATATTATAAGATTCATTATTAACTAGTTGGCCAGGGTAAAAGGAGCGGCTGAACATATTTCTTTTGGATACAAAGCTTTAACGATTTGATTTTATATAACAAACAACAATTCTTCATTGATATATTACAATTTTCAATCATACACTCTGTCTCAAATCTGGTCAATTTTACGTATTCTAAATTTGGAACCTGATGAGAAATTATTGAAAAGAATATTCTTGATTCATATTAATTATGTTTTTATATGATGAGAATTTTTCAGTGATTAGATAAATTCTAATAGGAGATTTGAATATGAAAAGATTGATAATGGCCAACAATATCAACCAACGGATCAGTAATACATATCGTGATTTTTTATCTAGAATATCGCAAAAAAATATGTAATAATGAATGAAACAAAAATAACCTGAGAAACAAATGGTTGAAATTTTATCTGGTAACTAAATGATTGAATGATATCCAACTTTATGGTCATGTTAAAACAATAAATAATCATTATGATTGAGATGGTAGAGAAGATTTGTAGCTGGGGTGGATGAACACTTTCATTCGATTGGAATCATGTGGAAATCTTGGACAGAGGAAATTCCAAAAACACCAGAGAAATTTCAGAATCCTGGCACTCAGGTCAATCAGCAATCAACAAGCATATTGAAATCAATCTAATTTATCAACCAATCAGGAAAATCATGTACAAATATGCGAACAAAAGTCAAACCAATGGGAAACACGACCAAAACAAAGAAGTAAACAATGACAAATTTAAAGTCAATAAGAACCAATCCACATCGAGGTGTACAGAACAAGCTGTGAAACGCATATGACTAAATTCGAACACATCACTTCTATCTGAAGTTTGTGCTGGTGATGTTGTTCAGAAGGACGATGAAAGCTCCACGACCAAACCATCCAGCTCTAAGAATAAAACTCCCTCAAAATCATTGTAATTGATTATCTATGTATATGACAACTATATGGTTTGGGTACTTTTTTAATGTGTCAACGAATCTTTTCCCAGTTGTGAAAGAGAATAAATTAGTGTTTAATTTATTGTTTTCAGAAAACATAGTTTTATTTATCAAAAAGAAAAACGGTATATTTTATTGATATTTTAGAATATGACGTATAACAATAGTACATAGATGTCATATAACAACATTTTGATTATATTTTTACTTGGTTAATAGATAAATGCAATCAATATTTTAAAAAGAAAAACATGGATAATATTTGTTACTTATTCCATTCATTTAGTACAAATGAACTTTATTCACAATTGTTTGAGCTAATCAAATGTAAATGAATGTTTTATTGATGGTTTCATTCTTAAAACTAAAAGAAAAATGTTCAATTTTGAGATGAATGTTTATATATTTTACGTGGTTTATTGACTAAAACAACTTGGCGAGACTCTAATTTGTGAACGAGCCAATCAGAGGCGTCTTGGAGGTTTCATGGTTACAGCGCCAACTCCAGTGCTTAATGATAACGTACGATTGGTTCACAAGGAATTTTGTATAAAACGTGATAATTGAGCGACTATAAAAAATAAAACGCCGAGACTATAATTTGTGGACGAATCAATCAGGTATAAGATAACAGATCTCGGGCTTTGGCGCGAAAGTCTTTCATTCATTTGGCCAAATAAATTTCTGGCATTATAGCTGATGTCAGTTCGTGGTGGAAACCCCATATATAACTAACTAAGCCAAATTACGACAAGTATCGCGAACTGGATAATAAAAGCACCAGTAAAACTGGTTGCAGCCAGGCACTACGAAATATACGAATGTTTGGAGAGCGTACAGACTCCTACATAGGCTTGGTTATATGCATCGTGTCGTTATCCACAAGTAGCATTTTAGAACTCAACAACTGAAGTGCACTTAAACAATATTGAAGCTACATGGTCGAGGCTGAAAGAGTTTTTGAGGCTTTATGATGGCTCCAGAGGCCGACTATTCTCTAACCGTATGGATGATTTCCTTTACTGCATGCATTACGATTTTAGAACCTCTGAACCTCTTTCTAACTTTGACAAGTTTTTGAACTACGTACAAGAAGCGTATCCACTTTATTTCCTCGGTTTTGTATAACATATTTTTACTCTATACTGACTATTTGCTGATTGCTTGATATTTCTGAAGGTGACTTAAAATTCGTTCAAAGGTCGTCCATACATTAGAGTTTCGCCCACAACTTTATTATGTTTCAATATCTTGTTAGCACACAGTATTCAAAAAGAAAGTTCCAACTTCAATTAAGACTTAAAGATATTTCAAAATCCTGTAGATTGATCATTAAAAATAGTTTGGCTTAATATGTGAAAATTATATTTGAAATAATCTCAGCGACTGGAATTTGAAATAATTCCAATGTTTCATCCAGCTAACTTATCTGGACTTCTTCTGGACGATAATCAGAATCAAAATCATCAAAGGAAAATATATAGTGTTTTGACAATCAAATTAGATCAAATCTATGCTGTGTTAATCCAATCATAATTGGATGTTGATTTCTAGTAAATAGGATAATATAAGTCAATTAAATGAGAATCATATGAAAAGTTCACGTAGTGAAAATAAATGACTGAATACTGTTGTTGAATCATTGATGTGTATGTAAAATGAATATCAACAAATACATGATTGTATTGGTCAAAATACCTCACATTAATTTCAGTCAAAATAACGATGCCAGTGAAACAAACAGGTTGAATAAACAAAATGGTCTAATTACTTGTCAACGAAAATTTGCCAATTAGTCGCTAGTTGAACACCATCCTTTTGGTTCAGGCTGTTCTTGTTTGCTACATATTTCTTTGATAATTTTGATTATTATCCTAAAGAAGTCTAGATAAGTTTGCTAGACGAAACTTTGGGATTATTTTAAATTGCAATCACTGAACTTATTGTAAATATAATTTTCACTTTTACTGACTTCTTTATACTCCGCGTCGTATAAAATCTTTAAAAAAAGATTAAGTTATAATCAGAGAGGGATTTTTCGGGTATTATAATAATCTAATATTTGAATTCATGAGTCAAATGAAGCCAGACCACCATGGAAAACCTGCATGCACTGGACGGTAATTTCGTTATAGTATGGAACTGCTCAGCATTGGGCACTCACGATCCCGCCTCGCGAGATATTCACAAAGCCCCTCTCTGATTATAATCATATGCTCACTAATAACTGTCTCCAAGAGTTTTTTCCTGAAGTTCTGGTGAGAAGCAGTGACCAATGGAGTTCATTTGGGTCTGTTTTGAGATAGCAACTCACTGAAGACAATGTTGAACGTGGAGCAATTTCGTGGATTGGTTGAAGTTAGACATTATTGCTGTTAGATGCCAGCCGGCTCAGTGGTCTAGAGATGAAGCATTCACGCGCAAAACTGATAGCTTCTGTATTTGAGTCTCGCGAGGTGGCATCATGAATGCGTACTACTAAGGAGTTCTATACTAGGATGAAACGGCTGTTCAGTGCTTCGAGGTTTTCCACGGTGGTGATTTAGCTTCAATGGACTCATGAATTCAAGTATTAAAATTAAATTAATTTAAAGGTGTTACATAAAACAAAGAAAAACATTATTTTAGAAATATTAGGGAAATTATTTTCTTACAATTTAATTAACAGCATTATTCTGATAAATAATTATCAAACAGGAAGTATGATAATATATATGAAATGACCTGATTTAATAAGATAATTAGTCTTTACATACTATAACATAACTTAATTACATCTCTGTAGTGTATATACATATATACATAAGTATAATCATTATATATACAGATATAAATATATAAACGATAGTCTATATTCATGAATTAGAATAAGTAGCACTTCTACATAATAACACTTAAATATTATCATGTTTATGATAACATTACATATTCCTTTTAATATGGAGAAATAAAATGAAGTGAAAAACACATTATTGTTTTAATAATCAACAAGGTAAGGATGTAATCATCTGCTCTGCTTGCATATATTATTATTTTTCTTTAGGTCAAACTGGGTCATTTCATGTATAGACGAATATTCTAATATCTTTATTAGTCAAAATAAACTTAATTATTCAGATAGCTTTACACATGACATAATGCTAGTTGCTCATGAAAAATAATTAAATGATATTTTCTATCAAAAGAAATATCTATATTATTTCATATCGTATGCTATATAAAATTCATATAGGTGGCTTCTAAATTGTTCTACTTTTGAAAGAAACAGGTTTAATTAGAAAATTACTATTCCAAATGTATTTGCTAATAAGCATCTCATATATATCAATAGTTGAGATCATGAGTCAATTGAAGCTAGACCATCATGGAAAACCTCGAAGCACTGAACGGCCGTTTCATCCTATTGTGGTACTCCTCGACAGTACGCATCCACCAACCCGCCCCGCGAGATTCGGGCCCAGGACTTATAAGTTTCACGCGCGAGCGCTTAACCACTAGACCACTGAGACGGCATCCAACGGTGTTAATATCTAACCTCAACCAATCAACGAAATCGAGCGATACATCCACCATTGTCATCACTGAGTTACTATCTCACTGAGAAATAATGTGTAATGATTGTTCAACTGGTCTTCTATGAAACGTTTCGTCGGAGGTTTGATTATTCACTTGTACATGACGTTGGTTATTTATTGAAATGGTATACAACACCTCATCAAGTATACATTGTTTGATTAAAACTGCATGATATAGACCAGGATAAAAGTAATGCTTCATAAGTGAATATAAGAGAGAAATATTTTTTTAATGATATGTTCAAATAACTTGAAAATTTTTCATGTAAAAAAGAAAACGTATTTTAAATACGTTGAAACACTGAATACTGTACTGAATCCTAAAAAAGCAATCCTGAAATTACCTATAAAGTAAAATAAAAATCAAATTTCGTTTAAACTCATGTCATTCAGTGTCAATCATTATTTGTAACTGATGAATTCCAAAATGATATTAAATTTAAATAGATCAAGCCATTGCATAAAAAATAGGATACCAGAAATCATATAATACACTACACAATCCCATACTAATAATTAACATATGCTCACTAGTGACTAGCATCGTTAGGGAATTCTCGGAGTTCTAGTGAGAAGTTATGACCAGTGAAGTTAATCCAGGTAGAAATAGGTATTTACCTTAGTACAGTGGAAGATGATGGCACAATTTTTTGGATAGAATGAAGTTAGACATTGACACTATTGGATGCTGGCTCAGTGGTTTGGAGGTTATGTATTCGCACACAAAACTGAAGGTCATGGGTTCAAAACCTGCGTGTGGGATCGTAGATTTGGACTTCTGAGGAATCCCAGACTAAGACGAAATGGCTGTTCAGTGCTTCAAGATTTTCAATAGTGTTTTAGCACTAATCAATTCATGATCTTAATCAAAAACTCAATAATCTCCACAACTTCATACTGATACTTTGATTTCATTTATTTACTAAAATAAATCCTTCTGTATTATGATTAAAATTGTTATTGTATTTAATTCATATATATATATAGTTATTAAGGCAGTTTTTAATAGATTAGTTAAAATAAAGTCTTCTTTTAATTCTCTTTCATTCTGTTTTTTTCTTTTGTCTATTACCAGTTAGTGTCATATCAACTGATTGTATTAAACAATTAAAGTGTTCTTATTTAAATATAAGCAGATATTTTATAAAGTAACTGAAATACTTTTATACATATATAAGCCAGATTTTTGTTTGTTTGTTTTTTTGGTAGAAGAGAGGATTAAGTTGTTTTAGTCAGAATATAAATAGATGTAAAACTTCAATAGGATTAAATAAACTAGAAATTGAATATAACCTAACTAGTTATTAACTAGTGAATAAATAAAGAATAGTAAAGCTATGTTAATATAAGTTTTTTGATCTAGTGATTATTTCGTTTTTCTATCTAATGCAATTTTATTTTCAGAAGGGGTTTTGTGGAGATTTTAGTAATATCAATAGTTGAATTCATGAGTCGATTGAAGCTAGACCAACATGGAAAACCTGGATGCATTGGACGGCCGTTTCGTCCTAGTATGGGACTCCTCAGCAGTGCACACCCGCGATCTCACCCCCGCGTGATTCGAACCCAAGAACTATCAGTCCCGTGCGCGAGCGCCTAACCATTAGACCACTGAGCCTCCATCCAACGATGTTAATGTCTAACTTCAACCAATACACGAAGCTGAACCACCGCATACCATTGTCTTCAGTGAATTGATATCTCCTGGGTCTGAATCTCGCGGGGGGCGGGATCGTGGATGCGCACTGCTGAGGAGTCCCATACTAGGACGAAACAGTCGTCCATTACTTCCAGGTTTTCCATGGTGGTTTAGCTTCAATTGACTCATGATTTCAACCATTGCAATTTTATTTGTTTATTATTAGACCATTTCAAAATTTATTCTTTCATATTTTACATACATACATACTTACTTGTGTCTGTTACTCCCAATGGAGCATAGGCCACCGACAAGCATTCTCCAACACACACTAAAGTGGGCTTTCTTTTCTAGTTCTATCCAATTCTTGTTCATTCTTCTCATTGTCTGTCTTCATATCTCAGCGTAATGTGTTCTTTGGTCTTCCTCTCCTGCTTTGACATTGAGGATTCCATGTGAGAGTTTGCCTTGTGACACAGTTGGGTGGTTTCCTCAACGTTTGTCCTATCCACTTCCAGCGCTTCTTCCTGATTTCTTCTTCCACTGAGATCTGGTTTATTCTCTCCCACAGTATGTTGTTGTTGCTAATAGTGTCTGGTCAAAGGATACGAGGTATTTTGCGTAGACAACTGTTAATAAACACTTGTATCTTCATAGATCCCAAAGTTTCTGCTCCATACATTAGAACTGTTTTGACTTTTGTAATAAAAATTCTGACTTTGTTGTTGGTTGACAGTTGTTTTGTACACATAGTTTCCTCTATTATCTTATGGAGAGCAAAATTGAATATCGGTACAGAATAATATGAATTCATATTATTCTTCACTAATCTTTGTTCTTACTCTCTTTCCTATTCTGATTAGAAATGAAAAGAGGTTAATAAGCAAAATATCGCTTATTTATTTAAATGTTAGTCATATTTTGAATTATCTAATAAATGATTCAAATGACAAAATGTTTTTAATCCTCATTAAGTGTACATAGTTTTTTTTAATTTTTTGAAAAAAAATCATATTTATTCACCAAGCTAATTTTTTCTCAAATTCAAGTGATAATAAGTGGAATTCGGCAAACAAAAATTGTTAAAACTGGTGTTTGGAAAACTATTTAATGATGAAACAGTATTTTAAGTAATTTTATATACTTAGTGTAAGAATTCATTTGGTATTGTTTGCTTGTATCGTTCTGTGACGTTACTGGGTTTGTGTCCCACAGTGAGCATCAACTCTAGAATACAGGTACATCCAGCTGACGAGTCTCAAATAAGACGAAACGCTAGTCACTATTCCTCTTTGCTTGGAGAAAGAATGATTCATTATTGTTAATCAACAATCTGTTAAAAAAATCTCATGCTAAAACTAAATAACTTAACCCATCACCATATTTTAAACTAAATAATTAAGTTTATTACCTATACGTAGAGTGTTTTGAGAACAATATTTTTGACTACATATAAACAGTTTTAAAGCTGAAGTAACGCAATTAATTGCAGTATTTCATTTGAAACCGAATTCCTTAATTACCAAAATTCAGTTCGATGGAATTCCCAGGAATGAGTACTAACAATGTTGTAAACGAAATGTAAGCAAATGATTATTGTTTTCTTAAGAAAATATATTGTTCCCAAGGGGTATTAGATTCATACAAGAATAGGAGCTTTCTAGAATATCCATCTTTTATTTGATTTCGTAAAGAATAATTTTGAAAAAGATTAATTTTGTAGTTCCTCCGTTTTCACAAAAACAAATCTTTTACACTAAGTGACCACTAAATCGTGTTTTATAAGTCATTAGTGGTGATCAAATTTACTCTACTACTTTGCTAATTGCTTAATGTGTATGATTATCTCAGGTTTAGAGAAGTCAGCTATAGCCAAACTACTCAGACAGTACTATCTATGTCTGTGATAGAGGGTCATATTGATATCAGTATTTACAAGAGTTTAGATACATTCTATTGAAAAGCGACATCTTGAGCGACTGTAGAAAAAGGACTTCTATTCATTTATCTTTAAATTTCTTTTGATATTAAATATTTTACATACTAGAAATAGATTATTACCTAATTTTCCTATTCATTCAAGTTGGTTATATGTTTTCTATATGGATAACTATGAATTTCGGGCATAGAAACATTGAGTTGCATCATAGGTAAAATAAAATATGATCTCGTTTAAACTAATTCAATATGAAATTTTGCATATACCACTGATAAAGTTACTTAACTGTGAATGTCATGTTTTAAAACTTTTTTTGTTTATCTCCACTAACCACTAACTGATATTGAATTAAAATGTTAATATTTTTATAGATGTCATGGTGGAAAGAGGATTTGCCGACACCACTAACAGTAGGTAATGAAATATCACTTCCTCGTTATGAAATTGATCGTACCGATCCTGGATCTTGGACACTGATGATCTTTCATGTTACTGAAACTGATAGTGGAACATATATTTGTCAAATTAATCTAGCCACCATAAAAGAGAAATTTTTCTACCTCAAAGTTATTGGTATGTTATCATGTCTATCAACTACTTTTTTTGAAAGATTTATTTTACCATAGTATTAAGTCTAATATTTACGGCTGCTAAATTAGTTTATTCATACTTTATACAGCTACTGTAGGCATCAAATATACGTAATCACATGTTATATTATTTTATTTTGTTCACACACTTGATAAGCACATAGTGATGTTGTATATATATATATATATATTGTATTGTATATATATAATTTTTGTGCAAGAAGACTGAGATTAGAGAGTATAAACAAAAGACAAATATCTTACGTACTCACATCCTTATGATAATCAAGATAAGATTGATGTTATTTTAAGGAAACGTAAATGAAGCTATAAAAAATTTTTCTTTAAAAATAGAATAACCAAAATCTTTAAAATTAAAGCGTTTTATTAATATTATAAGTGGAGACAGTTATCATTATAAGACAACTTTGGAAAAACTAATAAAGTGGTGGTAAACATATATTGAATTCTGAATGTTATGTGACGTTACTAGTATTGCGGTTTGAGCTACTTATATTCATATAAGTAGTATATAACGTGCGTTAAATAAACGTAAGGTCCGGCAGCAGAAGATGGCGAAGATCAAGAAAGGAAGAGCAAGAGCACAATGGAATTGTAAGAAAACACATGTACAATGGAATGGGAGACAATGGATTAGTGTTTGCAACGGGAACAGTACAGTTTGATATGATGGAATGATATTTTGCAAATTGATGATTGACTTTATGGTATTCACATTTTATTGAGATAGTCTGTAATCTTTGTGCTAAATACAATCGATTGTCCCCACCCGTGTTTTGTTCACTACAGTATCATTGTACATAATACACGTCTAGTTTAGTTGCGAGCTCATCGGTTGAATCATTGAAATATGTAGTTATATTAACATAGACTAAAACTAATATCGTTAGCATTGGTTACCTTTGAGTTATGTGCTGTGCTGCGGACTCAACTAACAACTCTTAAATGTTGTTACATTGAGCCTTTCAGTCGTAAACACGGCTGAAAGTTTTCTATGTTCTGTAACTACTTATTATTCACAACCAAATTAACACAAAAATGTAGTGAAATGAGCTAATACGTCTCAAAAAATGATTGTTAAATTAGACTGTTGAGTACCGTTAATGATTACTAACATTTAATGTTACTATCCTATGAAAGCATAGATTATGAAGCGTTACTGTAACATAAACTTAGACACAACTTTAAGATAAAATAAGGTATTGAGAAAACTGGTAGATTTGTGAAAGTTACTTATTTCTGAAGAATTTTTTAAAAGTTGAGCAGTAGATTTGCTGTTACTTTTGTGTTGTGTATTACGTTGACTGATTATATATCACTAGGTTTATCACTCGTGTTTTAATGAATAAAGTGCTGGGTCATTTGGAAATTAAGAAATAAGTACGAATTTAAAGTAGCATCTAATAATTTTAAATCATTTTTTTACGAATATCTTAATAAGTGTACAAAGTTCAATCTTTGTTTGCTGACCAATTTTGGTCATTTTCTTTAATGTATACTATTTTACTATCCGACTAACTTAAATGTTTATTTATCAGTGTGGGGTTGTACAGATTATTAGGTTTTTGATCGAGATCTTGAACCATTTGATGTCTGACCACCATTCAAAACTTGGAAGAACTGAGAGGCCGTTTCATCCTATTATGAAAATCCTCCGCAGTGTGCTCATTAGTGACTAGCTTCGTGAAGGAAATTCTCGGAGTTCTAGTGAGAAGTCATGACCAGTGAAGTTAATCCAAATCAGGTGGAAATAGGTATCTACCTCAGTGCAATGGAAGATGATTGCGCAATTTTGTGGATTGAATGAAGTTAGACATCAACACTATTGGATGCCGACTCAGTGACCTAGAGGTTATGTATTCGCGCGTGCGACCGAAGTCCTTGGGTTCGAAAGCTGCGTGTGGGATCGTGGATTTGGACTTTTCAGGAATCCTATACTATGACGAAACGGTTGTCCAGTGCTTCCAGCTTTTCAATGGTGGTCTAACATCAATCAGTTCGTGATCTTAATCAAAAACGTAAATGTTTACGTTCGGACTTTGTGAAGAAGAATGAAGAATCAGATAAGTTTATAACTTGCAAATATTTAAATTTATACAACAGACAATTCGATTTGACTACATCTTGTTACTTTTGAAAAAAAAGATGTTCTCAATGGAATCAACGTTAAACTGGTTCTAATCAGAAATTCATAAAAAACATTTTCCTAGTTTATGTGTTTATACTGTTTATCATTATTTTTTCCAATTTATGCATCAAACGCTAATCGGATTTATTTCTGTTCACCTATGGCATTTAAAAATCAAACTGACCGGTTCAATTGTCTATATATGAATCTTTAACAAAAAACAAACAAACAAACAAATTTAGCTCAGAAGAATGAACCGGATATGACAAAATTAAATGATGAATATGTCAAAGATGAAATAGTACAAAATACATTATGGAGAGCATCAAGTAAACAAAAAAGTAAGATGATTTATTTTTTTCAACTTTTGATTTTTCTATTTTTTTCTTATCACACTGTTGAATGTTGAATAAATGTTCATATACCAATCGTTTTCTAATACTGCTTTATAATATGTCCACTTAACACTTGGCATACTAAATACAATGGTTACAAAAATAGTTAAGGAAGTTTTTAAAGTTACCTTTGGGATATTTTTTCAAGGAAACTATGAACGGATTATAGTTTTGTTATAAATATAAAGTAAGTATTCACTCATCGTTTCTTTGCATGACTTTATCTTCAATATATTAATATTAATTTCAATAGTTGAGATCATGAGTCAATTGAAGCTAGATCACCATGGAAAAGCTGGAACCATTGAACAGCCGTTTCGTCCTAGTACACGACTCCTTAGAAATGTGCATCCATGATTCTGCCCTGCGAGATCAGGACCTATCGGTCTTACGCGCGGATGCTTAGCCTTTAGACCATTGAGTCGGTATCCAACGATGTTACTGTGTAACTTTAACCAATCCGCCAAATTGAGCCACCGTCCAGCATTGCTTTCAGCAACTTACTATCTCACAATAGACCCGGTTGAACTCCACTTGTCACGGCATCTCATTAGAACTCCAGGAAATACCTCTTGAAGCCAGTCACTAGTTAGCATGTGTCGAATAATATCAGTGGTTAATATTCAGTGATTCCAGGTTTTCAATAGTGATATAGAATCAATTGTCTCATGATCTCAACTATAGTGTCCACAAAAACTCCTGATATAATAACTAGTCAGTCTCATCTGTTATGGTAAATATATTGTTCCCTTTTCTCGTTTCTTATGATGTTTCAATATTAGTATTGTCAGTATGGGGTTATTAAGATTGTTAAGTTTCATTAAAATCATACACCAATCTAAGTTAGACCACCATTTAAAACGTGGAAGCAACGGAAGGAATGACTTAAGTTAGACATTAACTCTTATGAATATCATTTTATTTTATCTAGAGATTAAGCGATCACGCAAAAGATTGTGGATATGCCCTGCTGAGAAGTCTTATACTGGGACTTAACGGCCGTCCTATGTTTCCGTGTTTCCAATGGTTGTCTATCACTGATCAGTTCATGATGTTATGAAAATGTTACTATTGTAGATTCAGGCCGTTCTTAACTGATGAGAAGCCTTGAACTATATAAAATTCATACTGTTATGCAAATCTCGTCCATCTTGCTTTATTTCAATAGTGATTGTTTAAAAATTTTAAAATGTAGAGTTTAGTAACGATAGAATTTATAGAACATTTTCTTGTTATTCACTTTTATTTTTAATGATATACCATGCTTGTTTCAATATAATTTACACAGTGAATTAAATGAGGCGAACGTGAGATGTATTAGAAATCAGATTATGTCACAGATCTTTATTAAGATTTAAGATTCATGTAACATACTATAAACGAACACTGTAGCATTAATACCATTCATGTTTACCTAAGGAGGTAGATATTAAGATTTCAAAAATGTGTTATTGCGCATTTTACTTCTAAATTGAAACCATTATCAGGTATAAATAGAAAATCACTTAACTTTAGTATGTTTTCTATTGAAAAACGGAGTTTCAATAATGGTTAACATAAAGCCTTCACAAATGATACATATAAAATTTGTAAGCTACATTACCTAAGCAATAACCTTTAGTAAAGATGGGTAGTGTCTAGCAGTGGGATCTAGTTTGATGTTCGTTTCGTCCAGTTTGGGACTCGTCAGCTAGACATGCCTGCATCCCAGAGTTGATGTTCACTCCGAGACTCGAACTCAGTACTGTTCGCTTCAAACGCCATCACATTATCCATTTAGCTACTGAGTCCGGATAGCCACCTGCTTGTACAATGTGGTGAAGCTTAAGTTCACTTGGTGTTGTTTTACTTGTAACTTCTTATTGTTATTTAGGATTGCGATTGTTCAGTTTCTTGATGGTATATGTGCATCCTGTGCGGATTGCCTCGATGTAGCCTTAGGTAAAAAGATTTTTAAGCAGAGACAGATAGTCTCTTGTAGTGGAATCCAGTTTGACACGCGTTTTGTCCTACCTGAGACTCGTCAGCTGGATATACCTGCATCTCAGAGTTAAGCTATTATCGAGACAAGCAGCACAGGATGCACATACGCCAACAAATGGCTTATCAACTGTATTCCTAAATAACAATAAAAAGATACCAGTATAACAACATCAAGTGAATTTATTAACCTTTAGTATTAAGATAAATGATTGGAGAAAAACAATCACCTGAACTCAAATCCAATGAATTTTGTATTCATTTTTTGAAAATTCAAGATATCATTCATTATATGGAACTATTTGATACTTCAATAATAGACGTATAAATCATTAGACAACAATTATGGGACTACAAGTTATGTACTTCTTTAAATTATTATCACAGATTGGTATTTACTTGTGTCAATTACAGAGAAAATAATATTTAACTATTTTAACTAAAAGAAATTAAGTAGTATTTGTAGTAGTAATTTTAAAATAACAATAATAATCATAACTTTAGAACACTTCAAAAGGACTATTGAATAGGGTTATATATAAACATTATTATTATTATCAAATTACAATATAACGTGAATAGTGACAATATTTAAGATTGTTTAGTTTACATTTTCCAATTACAAACTTCCAATAATGTTAAAATGAAATTATGATTTATGAAGTTATAAGATAATATAGTATTTAAATGATTATATAAGTAGTATTGATAGAGGTATATATATATATATATATATATATATATATTAAAACTCTTATATTGGATTGAGAATAAGATACTATAAAGATAAATTTGTAAGACAATATTAATTTCATTCAAGAATACACTTCAAATTATTCTCTAATATCATCTAAATGGTTTACTGAATAACAAGACAAACATTCAGTATGATATTAGTAGAAGAGAATAATGATAATAATAATGATAATTTGATGAATGATTAAGTAAATTTATTGTGATTTGTCCAGAATTAAGGTAAATAAAGACAGAGGTGATTTATATCATTTTGACATTGTTAACTAAATCCGGATTGATATGATTTATATAAAATTGTTATTCTTGATTGAAATTATGGACACGTTTAAGTTTGTTTAGTTTATTCTTAGACAGAAATAAAATGTTTACTAAAGAGTAAATTATTAAGTATTGTTTAATAACTATCTAGTTGTTTGAGACCATGAATTGATCAATATTAGATCACTATTGAAAATTTGGAAGTATATTAACACTGTCGAATTCCAGCTCAGTGGTCTAAAAGTTAAACGTTTGTACAAGAAATCAAAGGTTCTAGGTTCGATTCTCACCTATAGGATCATGGATACGCATTATTAAGAAATCCTAAAACGGCTGTTTAGTAGTTCCAGGTTTTCAATAGTGGTACAACATTATCCTAATTAAAAACTCAACAATCTTCACATACCCATTATTAACATATCAATTTGATTCTATTTATTACTTAGTTACACTTCACTAATTCGTAACTATTATGAAATTTTTTCGAGGATTTAAGTATTTTCCTTATATCACATTTTATATTAATATCTAATTACATTTATGAAAGATAACTTCATCATACATAATCCATTCATTAACCTATAATTCAAATGGATAAAATTAGTTTAAACCATGACTCAATTGAAGCTAAGCCACAACGGAAAACCTGGATGCACTGGATGGCCGTTTCGTTCTAGTATGGTTAAGCGCACTAAACTGAAAGGTTCTGGGTTCGAAATTTGTGGGGGGTGAGATCGTGGATGCACATTGCTGGGGAGTCCCGTAATAGGAAGAAACGGCCGTCCAGTGCTTCTAGGTTTTCCATGGTGGTCTAGCTTCAATTGACTCATAAATTCAACTACTGAACTTACTAAAATATCCACAAAACCCCTTCTATGAATAAAATTAATTTGAAATTAAATTGCAACATTAAAACAACACAATATTGTACACAGACTTTATACTTTAAAGGTTTTAAATATGCTTATTTTATACAATAATGAAAACTTTATATTATTTACCAGTTTTTTTCTTTATTTCTATACTACTTAAATTATTACCAAAGTTATTTTATTTATTTTATTAAATACATTAACAAATCAGTCATGTAATTTGTATTATTATAACGTTATTAATCTTCATTAAGCTAATCTAATTTATAAATTTACTTGCATAATCGGTAGGTAAACAAATTGTTGTAATTGTTTTGATCAGTTTTTTTTGTTGTTTTGTTGTTGCAAAATACGATAGGCTTTATTCATTAGAAGTTTTGTAGTGGTTTTACTTTGATTAATCAATCACTCTTGTAATCGTTATTATGTAAATTTCAAAGGGTATTTGAAATTAGAAGACAATATGAAGAGGCAACTACAATTTATTTGAGGATAATGAATAACACAAAATTACAAGCATATCAAACGAATTTGAATTTGAAGCAGAGGTGAATATGTATATGCGAGTAATTACATAGACAAATTTATAGTCAAATCACATGAGGGCATAGCAAAGCAAACCAAAGCAAAAGCTAATAATAAGATTTTAGTACATATATACATGGGGATTAGAATGAACCATCTAGTGATATCTAAGCACTCACCATTTTATCTAGATTCTGTCATGTAATCTAGTGATCATAACGGTACAAAGAAATATGCAAATTGTTACTGTTCTAATAACATTGTCTGTTAAGTAAGTGAATAACAAAAGGGGTTAACCAAAATTAACCATCATGCAAATTGTTTGTAGCATAGCTGCTATCGTTTTAAAAGAAATAAAAAGACAGGAACCATAAATAACTTCTCGTTTTGATCTATGGTTTAAAAAAATCTAGTAGTATTTCAATACTATAAGAAACTATGTTTAAGATGATCGGAACAAATCGTGTTTTAGCTGTTAAAAGCATAATTCTAATAAGCATTAAAAAATATTATATTTACAATGAAGTTGAACCTATTCAAACCTTGTTAGTACTCAACGAATCTCACACAAAAAAAGCCACTTTTTTTAATTACACGTATATATCTTAATGAGAGCAAGAACGAAGATTGGTGCAGAATAGTATGAATTCATTATATTTCATTAGGTTCTCATCAGCTGCTTACAACCTAAAATATTTGAAAATCAACGTTATAACAGATATTGACATACTGATACATACGAGGGTGATGAAAGATCAATGTATGTGTCTCATGATGTAACGAAGACTTCAATAGAGTTACTTACTTACTTACGCTTGTTTCTCCTAATGGGGCATAGGCCGCCGACCAGCATTCTCCAGCCCACTCTGTCCTGGGCCTTCTTTTCTAATTCCATCCAATTCTTGTTCATTTTTCTCATGTCTATCTCCATTTCCCGGCGTAATGTGTTCTTTGGTCTTCCACTTTTCCTTTGGTCTTGAGGATTTCATGTGAGAGCTTGTCTTGTGACGCAGTTGGGTGCTTTCCTCAATGTGTGTTCTATCCACTCCCAGCGCTTCTTCCTAATTTCTTCCTCCACTGAGATCTGGTTTGTTCTTTCCAACAGTTGGTTGTTGCTAATTCAATAGAGTTAATAAGGTCATACAAATTTTGTTTCCTATAAATAAAGTTTGTCAGGGAAACTTACAGAGCATTAGAATAGTGATTAGAACTCATGAAGTTAACAAACAGTAGAAAATTGTATAATTAATCAACTGGAAATATATAAGTGGTTATAAAGGGAGATGTGAACTGAGATCAGTCAGTTATGAAATAAAGAAAAATGATAATGATGTAATTTAAACTTCAGAAAGAGTTGAAATAATGAGTGACGCAATAAACAAAAATAAAAAAATAAAAAAAGAGAGGTAATGTTACCAGGGCAAAGAAAGATTTATTACTGTCTATTTTTGTATACAAAGATATGGTTTTAGACGTTTAATTGCTTTTGGTTCCGCAAATTTCAAAAGGTTGGAGTTAGGTTGTTTGTTAATCATGTTGATTTTCAAATACTTTAGGTTGTAAGCAGCTGATGAGAACCTAACGAAATAAAATGAATTCATATTATTCTGCACCAATCATCGTTCTTGCTCTCTTTAAGATAATAAAGGGAACCATGTGTACATATATATCTTCTAAGAAAACAGTAATATGTTCAGTCAGATTAACACTATTATACTCAGATAGGAGATTTCTTAATGAAGAAGTTTATCACAATAATCTACAGTTCAAAATGAAAATCGTCCAGATTAACCTTTTTTGATAAGAAATTTAATTAATAATACCGTGTCATTATGAATCTTAAAATTACTGTAATTACTTAACTGACTTCCATAATATTCAGAAAGTATGATTACCATGAACTTATAAAATGGAGTCTTTTTATAAAAATGTCGACAAGAGATTTCATATTGTTTACAGGGTTATTGCATTCCACAGAAATCAAGTATTCAATTCTTACAATTTAGCAGATTCTTAGGTAAATGGCTTAAAAACATTTAGTTGAACATTACATTTAGCATTTTATTTATACCAAGGTTAAAGATATTATTATTATTTCAAGAAACGGTAAGACATATTTCAGTGCGTTTGAATTACGGCTAGCAAAGAGAAAAAGTAGAAAAATCCAATACGTCCATTTTTGCACAATCTTTCATTATTATTATTATGCTGTTGTTTTTCATTGTTAATGGTATCTAGGTGTTCATATCTTTAATAATCCTGGTCAAAACCATCATTTAACATGTCTTGTTCAATTTCATCATCCAACTACAACATCATCTATTCATTGGTATTATAATGGATATAGAATATATCCGAAATTAGAAAGTAGGTTATTTACTAATATAAAAAGACATTTAAATTTAGACAATTATTTAAAATTAAAAGAATTATACGTGGATATACAAACCAAATGGATTAATCGAACAACACAAATGAGTAGATTGAAAATTGGACGATTAACAAAAAATAATTCAGGCATTTGGACTTGTCGTAAAGTTCCTGGAACTAACTTAGAATCATTAGAAGAGAGTTCATTGGATTTACAGAAAACAAGTAAGAAAGTTCTTGTTATATAGTTTATTATGCTTAGTTATTTTATGTTTTACATTTGTCTCAGAATTTTAAGCTGAAAGTATTTATATGAAGATTCTTTTCTATCCATTATTAATTAAATATTTAACAATTTTAGTGTTTTTCAAGACAAAAAGCTGTCTGATGTGGTATCACTGAAAATAAGGTAAGATTAAACAAATTATTTCATCTAAAATCTTTCAACTGAGAATAATCATACATAACTGACTAATAATAAATAAAGCATATATCTTGATTGCTTTTAACAGAACTGAATCACTGAGTAGTATCAAAGACTTATATGGATTTATTTATATCAATCGGACTTCAGGTATCGCTTGCTTTTGAAATCAACAAGGACTAAAATCGATATATACTGCTGCTTTTAAAAGTTTAACATGGAGAACCACGGGAGATTGAAAACAACAATCATACATATAAACTATTTAGGTGTAGTGAAAATTTTATAGCTCGCTGGTAAATAACAACAATTCCTACAATTCATTTATAAGACAAATAACATGATTGTTGGAAGTAGTCGACAAAAAACCCTGGATGTAGGTGTTATGCAATTTGGCACTCATGAGAAAGGTGTACCTGCAATGTTAAGGGAACTGTTGCTCCCCGATGAATTTGATCCCGTGTCATCCAGCTTTACAGTCAGAGACATTACCACTGCGTTATCCGGATCGCGACTGACGTGTCATTGATCACCACCCACTGATCAATCAATCGTGAATAAATCTCAGTCTAACAGGAAGACATCCACGTCCCGGATAGCCCAGTGGTAACGTCTGTGACTGTTTAGAAAGGTGACGCGGGATCAAGTCCATCAGAGAGCATCAATTCCCTCAGGAATAATACAGGTACACTTTACTGACGAATGTCAAGTTACATGGAACCTAAGTCCACGGTTTCCAGTAAACTACCTCTAATCATCATCTTATTTCAACACAAGGCACATAATGTCGAGTCACCTAGAATAGTGGTCACATCACAATTTGGTCGATAGAATTCAATCTAAGCATTGATCATTACCCAATGATCAATCAATTGTAAATATATAAAATAAGTGTTTTATAAAATTTTAATTTTTCAATTCATATATTTACTCATTTTTATCATGTTTTTTAAAAAAATAATTTTTAGACATTAAAACTGAACCAAAAGAACTGTATGATACATTCAATGATAATACTGGCAAATCTTTAGAGACAAGATTATTACCTTTGCATATTTATACTTATTTCATGTATTTTTACATTTTCTATACCATATTGTATTATGCTTATGTATAGATTTTGTTCTCTTTCTTTCTTTCTTCCTTTCAAATATGAATTATCATCAGATTGAATACATTTTTTAATTTATAGAATTATGAAGAAACTAATTTCAATCTTATACCGGATACCAATAAATGTTATATTGATGGTTTTATGCATTTATTTGAATAAATCTTCTTATCGGTTGTTGTTTTGTTTTTGTTGTGTTTTTCTTCTTTTTCTCCTTCTTTTTTTTTGTTCACTAATAGAATGATATCAAGGAACATAATTATGAAACAAATTGGTAGGCAACTGAAACAAAATTAATTTTGTAAATAAATGTATAAATATATGGATTGTCTCAAAGTATTTATTTGTTATTTTCTCGTTGCCTTGTTAACTTAGAATTACCATAGTGAAAATATATTCTACCACTAATACACTGGCGACAGTTGAACTATATATATATATATATATATATATATATATATATATATATATATATATATATATATATATATATATATATATATATATATATATATATAGTGTACTACTTTTAATAGTCAACAGTAATATTGACTTATAGGATTATATTTGACATTTCTAGCGTACTTTTCTGTTTTCTAAATGTTCATTTTAACAAACTGATATTTATATGATTTTCCTTGGTAAATTTTATACTTCATGTTAAAGATCTTAATTAATTAATTAATTATGGTTACTTTAAATGAGAGGTATCCACTTTATAAACTAATTATTAATTCTTTATTTAGCGATAAACCACCAGTAAACAAATAATTGTTGAATACATCATTAGCTAAGCAATCCACATTATTGTATAAACTATTTAATGGTAATGCTTAATTGCAATCATTGATAATAATTATTTTGGACAGGTATTATAAAGCTGAAAATACTGTGAAGTAGAAAAGTTCATTTGTAATATTAATTATTTTCTAAAATATACTAGTGGATGTTTACATTACTGATAGCTATTCAGTTTGATAAACTTTCTGTTTACAGTTTCGTTTCGGCTGATGAGTCTCAAATAGGACGAAATAGGCATCAAACTGGATTTTATTGCTAGCCACTATTCATCTTTGCTTATATATTGAATACATGTTTATATTCAGATATATCAGTCATTTTTGTCAAAGATAAATGTTGACCATTATGAATTCATCATAGAGGCAGAGATTGTGATGCTAAAATGTATGGAATTTTTGAATAAACTATAAAAATATTTGAGTAATTCAAATGACTGAGATGAGACTATAATTTATGGACGACTTTTGGGTAACGCTGAAGTGACCTTGAAAGGGCCCACCTAATAACCATAACCAAATAAGGATTATGAACCAGTGTGAGGAATTATAATTATAATTTATAGTTGATAATTAAGGTTAAAAATTAGATTTAGGGTTTTCATCATGAACTTTATTTAGACAAATGTATGAATGATTTTCGCGTCAACATCAAAGACCTATTATTTTATACTTGATTGATTCATCCATAAATTATAGTCTTGCCATGATTAAATTTAGAAAAGTTATATGAATATGTGAATAACAAAAATAAATTCCTAAAAGATAATCATTTTCTACTTTCAACATATATGATAGTTTATTTTAGTTTAGTTATTTATTTATTTACTGGATAAATCCATCTATTGCATGAAGCTTATTCACTACTTGTCATATTTGCCTAAAAGATTAAATTAAAAAATAAACTTTATTCGGTTTTAATCCGTTGGACAATTTCATCGTTAAGTTATTGTTAAGTTATGACAAATATTCAACATTTATGTTTATAATATTGACAATCGCCCCCCCCAAAAAAAGAAAACATTTGAGCAGATAAGAAAAACCCATTTTTCTTCCATTTTAATTTGTGGCGACACTAACTTTAAAACTATCAACTAAAGTCTATAGTTCATTGTCGTATAATGTTGATAGAATGTACAATTTCTTAAAATATTTCATAGACAATTGTTAATCGAAATCCCTGTGTAAATTGTATGGTTATTTTCTTATCATTTGCATTGTAGACGCAGATGATTACATATGACCAGATATAACACTCGGGTATTATTACAACTGATTGCAGACATATTGATATATATATCGTACGAAATATTCATTACAATTCTCTGGGGAGTTGAGAAACTTCAATAACTGAAAACATACACAACTAAGTGCAACAAAAGCTAAGTTAAGAAACAACTTACACTTTGAAAGAAAAGCAAATAGTACAGTGTATTTTTATAGAAACGAATAAGATTAAAAGTATTCTATGATCACTATACCACTTAACGACTTTTCATTTATTGAACAACATAACCAATCAGCCAACCATCATATATATATATATATATATATATATATATATATATATAATTCAAGAAAATGGAGTAAGTTTTTATTTGCCAATGTTGATACTAGTTACATTCTTAGGGTATCTTTAATCAAAAACAGTTGAAGAATGTTAAGAATAGGAAAAAAACATTTTTTTTCCCGAGATAATTGAAAATTATTCATCTATAAATATGCTGAACAAATTTAGAGAGATAGAAAAGAAAATGAAGAAAATGGAGTAGAATAAAACATAGTGATAATAGTATTAACAAGGATAGTATAGAAATGGGAAATCACTAAAAGAGACTATTTTCATTCACTTGAATAATTGGTTTATTAATATTAGAATAAAAGAAATGGTATTCATCAACCAAAGGAAAACATTATTATATTGTATACTGACGTAAGTAGTTGTAGTTTAATGATTAAAGTATTTGGTTTTTATTCTCTGAATTGCACTTTTAAAACATTGTACATTTACTTTTCTATTGATGGTTGCATTCATTGGAAGAAGTATAATCCAAAAATGGGGAAAAGTATATCGTCATTTAATAAATGTGTCACAATATTTCTAATTTAAACCTAATTTATATTGAATGAATAAAAAGAGAATCTTGATTTTAAGTTTTATCTCCAGTGCTTATTTGATTGTGAAGGCAATATACAAAGTATCTTCAAGTTATTTCATAATTATTGTCCATTATTATTACGATACCTATACCTATAAGATACTAACCCGAAAGTTGTTGTAACTTCTTATATAAATATGTATCTTTCGTATAGATATGAGTATATCAGTAATGGTTTCAAATGGTCAGGTCCTTTGTTGGGCACTTCTCGATGATTGACTGCAGCCTATTGTAGAATTGATCTTTAGCGTCTTCATTGTAATCGTTGGTAGGCGCATAGCATTGGATGATGTTCATTGAAATGCCCTATTTCTTTGTTTTGAAGGAGGCTTTGATGATCTTTGGTCCATGAGATTCCCATCCTATAAGTGCATTTTGTGCTTGTTTGGACAGCATCAATGCAACTCCTTGTGTATGTGGCGCATTTTCTTCTTCATGGCCAGAGTATAACAGGAGCTCTCCTGTAGTTGTTGTCTAACTTGTGTCCAATGTGTTTCACTGATCCCAAGTACCTCTAGGTTGTATCTTCTCATTTCTGCAGCAATCTGGAAGGCTCTTCCGGTGTCCCACATTGTACGAACATTCCATGTACCTAAATAAATGGTCGCTCTGGTTGTCAGAAGGGGCATCGGCCTCGTAACTTCCGAAGGGATTCGGCTTTCATCATGAGGCGTCATAATTCTTCTAAATGAAGATCTTCTGACTCCCAGGGCAGAGTTTAAAAGGTTTGAATAATTTTTTCTGGTTAGCGTTTTTTTAGCGAGTTAGTTTTCTACGGGATGAGGACGCTAACCCCATGCTCAACCCTCCTCCTTTATCCGGGCTTGGGACCGGCAGTAGCCCCCGGAGGGACTCCAGGCGGAGTTAATTAACTCATGATCTCAACTATTAAATTTTTATTCTTCATGTATTTCATCCAGTTGTTATAATGATAGTAACATAACGAGTTTACAATTTCTTTACAGATAATTAAATCTTGAACAATAATAGACTTAACATAGAATATTTCACTTTAAGTTAAATATATAATGAAAGGTAACTAACTATTGCTACGAATGTTAATTTTTTTAGTCAGTTTAGGAGTATATAAAGTGTTCTGATTGAGATCATGAATCGATTGATGTTAAACCAATATTGAAAAACTGAAAGCAGTGGACGGCCGTTTCATCTTAGTATGAGGCTTCTCAGCAGTGGACACCCAGGACCTTTGGTCTCGCGCGCAAATCCTTGACATCTAAGCCATTGAGCCGACATTCGACGGTTTTAATATTTAACTACCATCGATCCATGAACCCCTGCGCAGACATTTATCTATCGTATGAGGTGGATACCCATCTCTACTCAAACACAAATTGAACTCCACTGGTTTCAGTTTCTCAATATAACTTCAGGAAATCATCTTGGAGCCAGTCACTAGCTTAGATCAACTCATGAATTCAACTGATTAAATTACTACAACCTCCATAAATCCTCATTCTGATAATTATTTAATTGACGCTTATTTAATATTCACTTGTTCAGTCATGATGATGATTGTAGATCTATTATAAAATTCAACCACGAAGGAATATTTCCTTGCTTAATTTGTAATTTTTTCTGGTATATTGGCAATAATAAACTATTTTATTCAACGCAACACTGTTAGCCTTAATAACTATATGGAAAACAATTTTGAAAAGAGCAAGAACAAAGATTCTAGCAGAATAGCATTAACTCATTTTATATAGTTGGTTCTCATCAGCTGCTTAAAACCTGGGATATTCAAAAATCATAATTACATAGTGGGATCAAATTACTTACATGAAAGTGTTTGGTTTAAAGTTATATTAAAGACACATTAGTATAATATAGCAAGGATTTGAATAAATCTAATAGACTGACTATTGTATACATATGCCTTGTGTAAAAGTATATTCTAGAACATTGATTGTGGCAACAGTTCAAACAGCCAGAAACAGGTGACTACGTAATGACTAAACACTGATAGGAATAAAATGAATAGAGCTCAGTTGATAAAATAAAATTACTAATTTGGAAGATCCTTGAAATAAAAGCTCAATGATGTAATAAACACAAGCTTTTTTAAAAGTTTAAGGTGCAACGACATTGTGAATTTCGTCAGTTATCAGTGTATCCTATGAGTATCCATGGGTACTTGAAATATAAAACACTCAAATAAATAAATGTTCAGGATGAGAGGGAAATATTTTGATATAAATAGAATATTAACACTAAGCGATATTACTTTTCCATATATGATTAATATAAACTTTATAAAAACAGAAATGATAATACCCGAAGGAATACAAATTAAAACCTGGAACAGCTGACTTTGGTCAAGAACCATTCTCAAGTATAAATGTTTAGCAATTTCGATTAAAT